ATACGTGTCATTGGGTTACCTCTTGATCCATACGTGTCATTGGGTTACCTCTTCATCCATACGTTGCATTGGGTTACCTCTCCGTGAGTTTCCCTATTTCTAATTTTGGTCCTTTATGGTTATTCGGCATTACCTGTACAAATATTTCTAAATTCGAAATGTCTAATTTTGCAGTCATTTTACTGACATGCCACACTTACACGTTTTCGTTTGAAAATGTATACTTTTCGATCAATGCGTTTTTGGCTTTAAGACTACTCGAAAACTCCAAGGTGGCGATGTCTGAAAAAGGGACCTATACTATTAATGTGGACGCGAAGTTTTCGATGAGTTTTCGGCGAAACAAAAACGGAGCATTTTTGAAATTGCATAGACGTGTTGACGTGGCCTAAATCTAAGCATTGATAGAGTGATTTTCCTAAGTCCGTGAAATAGTTTTTAGTTATTAGTGTTTCATAGTCAAATAGACCCAAAAGAAAAACGAATGAAATAATATTTACTAACCTTTATATAAGTCTACTAACTATTTCAAGGTCTGAGGAAATTCATCCATGCACATAAGATTACTGATGCCGATGGTGGCTCCGACGTCACATGTATATACAAAATTTTGCACCATCACGTGACGGCAGCCATGTTAGATGGCAAGAACAAAACAATCGTTTTGCATGAGAAAGAATTCCGATTCCCAAGAGCAATGGGATTTTATTGTTCTGCCATCCAACCACAGACAGCCGAAGCTTTATTATGGACGTGGGCACGTGATGGTGCAAAACCAGTTATTAAGCCTATTAGTCAAATTTTTTACTGCTGGAAAACCCTCAGTCTGCACGAAGTATCAAGATAAAAATTGCATTTCGCCTGGAGCAATAATCTTTGACGAGATACCGTGCTACGCGCGCCTTAACCGACCCTGTCTTTACGAAATGGCGCGGATCACCAAAGGAAAACTTCAAGGCACGAATCTCAATAAACACTCCATTAATTTTTCTCTTTGAAGCGTTTATGAGGTCAAAATAGTTGATCATTTCTTTAATACTATGAAAATACCTCTTTGAAGTGTTTAGACTTAAAAGGTACCTTTTTAAAGCGCCAAACATCAACTTATCAGTTGAGGTGCGCATTTTCGTGTTCAGGTATGTAGCAGTCGCGAGTATCGCTGGACGAGTACTATTTCAATGAAATATAACCCTGCAAGTGTTGAACAACAAATTGTTAAATAGTATTCGTTTATACATAATATTCTCGACACGACCACTAAAGATAAAAATGTGGATAACAATCGGATAGTTATTGATACTAACCGCAGACTCCATTAGCAATCAGCGACGAGCTAGGGAACTCGCCTGGGTTGAGACAGAAATTCAAAATGCTTGAAACTATCGAAATTCCTACAATATAAAGAAAACTTCCAACTTCATCGAGGGTAATAAAGATAAAAACCCGTCCTCAGTAAGAAAATTAGAGAGAGAAAAAAGCACAAAATTCGTCAACAGTTTTTAATGGCGATTTCGATTTTGAATAGTTTCACGGAAAAAAAGAAAGCTTCTCGAAAATGTGTGTTTTTTAAATTAAGTTTATGAAGCCTCGATATACGTGAGGTAAATTCTTTATTCCTACTTAAGCTACAAGAAAACATCAATAAGATTGCGTTGTGTTTAGTATTTAAGGTGTCGCCATTATTCTAGACATTTTCCTTGATTTCGATAAATTTCCCCGATAATCTTCTATAAGCTAAGTAATCTTACTAATGACCTCTATTAAACCAAAATTCAGCGGAGCTACCTCACTCAAAGAAAAGAATGATATGCAGTATAGGAGAGATTTGACAACTATATCGTGGAGATCTCAAACTAATGAACTATAACACACTGTTTCATGAGTGATTTTTGGAATTTATGAGTTGCAGAATCTGTGCTGTGATATTGAATATCGGGATAGATATGCGAACGTCACATTGGCCTTGATGGAATACAAAGCGGCGTATAGACCGACATTTCCTCAGGTGGAGGGAAATACCTAGGCTTTCTAGTTGGTTCTTTGAGACTTGCAGCTTTTGTGTTGAGATCTTTTTTCTCGTAGTATTTCCTAAACTCGATCTATCAGTTGTTTCGACTCAAATTAAGATTCAAGGAGAAGGAAACAGAAAAGATTAACAATCAAATGTGAGAAATAATATTATTAATCGATTTTTTCGCTCTAGTTGCGTTTTGCTAGCAAGATATCTGGATTGATTGCCAGGGCTTCCGATGCGGTCCTGTTCTTTCAGTGCTCGCCAATAATCAATGACCACTACAGATCAGTTTTCCTGTGGTCGTTCGAAGAAACTCAAAAAAACTCTGAAAAGTTGCCGTTTTTATTTTAAATTGAAATTAATAGATAAATTGAAATCAATTAAATTGTTTCACTAGAATAGAGCACCTAAAATAGCCAAGAGGTAACCGAAACGTGCGACTCCTTCGATTCCTTGACGAAATAAAAATTTAGAAGTTGATTTTTGCGGAAGGAGGAAAACCGGAGAACCCGGAGAAAAAACCCTCGAAGCACAGGAGAGAACCAACAAACAACTCTACCCACATACGACACCGAGTCCGGGAATAGAACCTATGACCACAGCATACACTCACAGCCCGTACTTTACTGTCATTTGTAGAAAAGATCTGTGCACCAGCTGTGGTATATTGTCTAGAGCCAAACGTAGAATGGAATCTGTTCTGTACCCACGCTCAGTTTCCGTACTACAATAAATATAATTCTCCTTAGTTCAATAAAAACACTGTAATGTGTAGTGTATTAAGATATATTTAATTGTAGCACCACTAGAGAGAAGTATCTGGTCTTCTTAATTGTTCAGCTGTTTAAAAAGCGGTTAGTTCAACGTTGTCTGCGCGTGGGCATGTAGTAGAAGTAGGCATGTGGCCTCTTAATGGTCTAAACAGATGTTGTCATCGATCACGGAAAATTACTTTAATAGCCCATTTCTATGAAGCTATTTTTTTTTTAAATCACAATTTTATATTTATTTATTTATTAGCATTTCAAAATAAAAATGTAAAATGTTGTCTCGCATGGTATCATAAAAGCAATCAGAATACTAATGGAATGGAATAAGAATTTTTGAGGGAATTTAGTTGCTAAAGCCGCGATGATTGTCTTAAAGTATTTTTCGCTTTCTTTTTTATTCGCTATACTTGTTAAAAGCGCCAAAAATCATAATCTAAACGACACGTTCAGTAATCCTATTACTGTCGTAATTACAGCAAACTAGATTCAATAAGAAAAAATCGTTATATAGATCTCGAGATTAAAGCTGTCTCATTTGCCAAGGTTATGCTCGTGTTCTTGTTAACCAAAATCTATAGTTCAACTTCTAATTGGTGTGTTGCTTAGTCTGAAAATCGGAGTTATCATCTTATCACCTTCATGAATAAGGCAATACTCATGCTATGTTATCTCTTTAGCCCTTTGAAAACGGTTTGAATCAAAGACTTCTTAGTAGAAGGAGTCAGAACTCTTGGAGCCAGCTAATGGAGGGCTGACGAGGTTTAGATAGAGAAGCACCGAGATATATTGTGTTGTCTTTTGCTTTGGAAAACGAGCTAAGAGGATAACTTACGTACTGATTTTCTAGCCTCAGTTGCTGTACCGTGGTTGCTGTGAAAAGGCGAATGAAAACTCTTGGCTGTTTTTAAGGTGAGTTTGCACACTAAATAAATGGCGCTTATCTGTCGTATCAGAGTAGTAAACCATTTTTCTGGTAACCTTATAAAAAGAATCATGCATCGTGTAGTAACTGATCGAGGTCGCAAAAGGAAATATTGCAAAAAGCTAAGCTTCGTATGTAGTGTTCTTGGTGTAGTATTTGTATGAATGTTGACTGGGAGCAAAAAAAGGGAGAATGAAGAAAGAAAGAAAGAAAAGCGACAGTAGCAGTAGCAGTAGCAGTAGCAGTAGCAGTAGCAGTAGCAGTAGCAGTAGCAGTAGCAGTAGCAGTAGCAGTAGCAGTAGCAGTAGCAG